ATTCAATATCTCCGATCTCTAGATAAACATTGTAAAACCAAAATATTCAAATACTGTATTGTACTGCATGTTCAAATATTTTCTTTTTACAAGACAAACCCAGAGTACTACTTCTATACCTAGACAAATACTTGGCATCCACATGGTAACCTTTGCATGCAGTAAGCAGAAGATAGCTGTGAATCTCCAATCTTGCCAAATCACTTGTAATAAATTTAATGGGCCAGTTTCATTAAATAAACAATGTGTTACCTTCACACCACAGAGAACTGTCACAGCTTTAACATCTCTCCTCACTGTAGGTGCTAAAATAAGACTGTAGCCTCCCCCCTGCGCACTAATAACACACATACACACACCCAGACACACAAACTACATACAACAATACAGTAACAATGCCTTATTATCTCAGGAGTAAACAGAGCGCTTTTAAAAACACCCACATGTGTAAAATAAATGCAGTCTTTTCGTCTGGATGTCTGGATCTCACATTTTAACACTGACAGCGGGCAATACCCTCAACACCAGTTTGTGATCAGCACTGGAGCTAAAAACAGACAAAGGCTCTTGCTAAAGAAGCTTGTCTCTGCTGTCTCAGAGGCTGTGGGTGTTGGGAGCCAAAAGCTGTCTGCCACATTCTTCCTCTTTCTCTGTCATTTTCTTGACTCTTTTAATCCCATCATTAGGTGAGCTCTCCTGCTTCCTGCTGCCGCTGCTGGCCACAAAACATGAGACAGACAATGAGAGAAAGACTCAGAGGTGCAGACAGCAGCCAGCACCTGTGTGGCTCTGTAACATGTAGAGAGGGAAGGACTGCTCTCAAAACTGTCTTGATATTTGAATGCATTGGCCTCTGCAGCTATACAGTTGTTTAGTGTGATGTCACCTCCTGATCCAACGCAGGCAGTACTGTAAATTTCAACTTAAATGCTGCAATTATTGAAATGACATGGAATTTATAATATTTTTCTCTTTGCTTTGCTCTCTTATTTGTAAATGTTTACGCACTGTGTCTGATCCAGGTGTGTGTGCAGCTGTTTTGCGTTGTAAACCTGGAGATGACAGGAAACTTTTCTCATGTGTCACACTCCACCTCCTTTTCGTCTGTGTCCTGAGACCCATGTGACCTCCTGTTCCCACGGTAACCCGAAGCCACCTGCCATTTGTCAAAAGTGATTATTTTAGGAGCTGCGCTAAATTAGAAAACTGGTATTCTCTCACCGAACGCTAACTGTGTGTGTGACTGAGCTACGATCTACAGCACAAGTGCGCCAATTACTTTAATTATGATGATTAATCAACATTACTCCCTTCGTAGTGATTATTTAAACATTATGCTTTAATCAATAAATCCACTTATTCAAAGCCAAAACAATAAAACTTTACTTGCATATCATTAAAGTAAATTATCCTCCTTTTCTACAACAGATTTTATTGCGCACTATCAAACCTTCATTTCTATTTTAGAGGCCATCATTTGTTCATTCTGAGCAGCTGTGGAATATTTCAGTATTTCATATTTTGTCGTTTACGTTTATGGTTTTGTCTTATTCAAAGTCACATAGTTTATCATGTAATCTAAATTAGAGGAAAGACTAGAGAACTGCTGACTTGGCACATTCCTCCACTCCTAAAAACAAAACGAAACACACCTGACCCTCACACCTACACGAGCACAAACACCACCCGGCCTCCACATCCTCCTGACAGCTTTATGAGTTTGACCTGAAATGTTTCGACATTTGTAGCATGTTCTTCTAAAGGCATTATAGAACCAGAATACGCAAATTAACTAAAATAAAATATACAAAATGGTTAATATCTTTCGTAAAGGCATTCAGTGGTAAATGGTCAATGTATCTTTTGTACACATTGAAGTAACGCTAACAACACTAACAATAATAGAAAAAGGAACTGCTGAAGCTGTTATTTTAATAGTCTGAAACACATTTGTATAAATATTCTAAATGTCACTATGACTTATTTTGAGTGGTAAAATGAATGTGCCATATTGTCCTACCCTACAATGCATTTCGCTTCTTGAAGTCAGAACATGTTGATGACAATAATACATGTGAGTGAATTACGATCAATCAATATATGTTCTATTAAATATTTTTTCAACACAGCTTAAACTTTCCACAATCTTCTTTGAGTGACCTTAAAACAAACAATAATTCAATGAGTGATAAATGAGGCAAACTACTACAGAGCTTAAGGCAACAATTTGTAAGATTTTAAAGGTCCTATATTACACAAAATTGACTCTTGTGAGCTTTGAGCCATACTAGAATATTGTTTTCTCATCAAAAACATACCAGAGTTGTGTTTTGTTTCATTCACACATGTTTGAGTAACCATTTATTATTAGTCTGTCTACATCTCCAGAGCTCAAAATGCTCTGTTCTTGCGATGTGATGGAGTGGTAGTTTTCAAGTTAACAGCTATCTTTTATCTCATCTTGTACTTCCTGTATTATCACATGACATCACAAGGTGGAACAAAATTTTCAGTTTGAGAGAAAAACTCTTGAGTCTAAATATGTAGGATTTGTGTAATAAACATGTGTGACTGAAACAAAACACAACTCCAGGTATGTTTGTGGTGAGGAAACAACATAATAACAGGTCAGAAAATAGCGTAATGTGGGCCCTTTAATACAAAAACCCAAACTTCTCTGTACTGTGCTGGGCCTTGCTTCTCTCCAGTTGCCACAGAGCTAACCAGCTGATCCCAGCGTCTTTTACACAAATCCAATTCCCCACAAAGGTCATTTATCCACACCAAGAGATTTCCCTCTTCCCTGTGCACTCTCCTCTTCGCTATTTATTATGGCCATTTGTTCTTCCCTACAGCTACTCCCTGTGCCCTTTTCACTACACCTCGTCTACTTTTTTAACAATAACATTTTCTGAGTTTTGCCTTTAACCCTATAGACAGCTATTCACTCTGACACTGTGTAGAACTGGACAGAGATGGCTCATTGAGAATGGCATGAAAGGGAGGCTTTAGTAGCACTTTTATAATGTGTTGTATTCAAGTGAAAAATAAATCTGCAAATTCATTTTCAATTCATGGTGGCTGAATGGCAGGCACTCTGGCCTCACACCAAGAAGGTCACAAGTTTGGAGTGTGGAGTTTAGATGATATCCCTGTGTCAACCTAAAACATGCATAACTGTCTAATTATTGTTTTGACAGATTGCTGGTAAAGCTCCATAAAGTTTGGAAAATGGTGGTTAAGCAGTATCTAGGCCTATCACAATAACACATTTTGAAATTTGAAATATTGCTGAAATAAAAATAGACAATAATCTGAAACTCGCTGACACAACATCTCAAGAGCAGATTTAAACCACAAAAACTATTGTAAATCTACATTATTGTTAAAAATAAATAAATAAATACAATAATAAATAATAGCAGAATGAAACAAGTTAGTGATTATTTTGCATCTATAATGGATCAAAAAAGATATTAATACAACATTTTACTGCTTAAATTTCATCATGTAGCCTAAAAATACACTATTTCCCAGTACTGCAAATAAAATGTACACACAATAAATACTGACAAAAAATGTTTTATGGCCTAGCAGTATCCATAATGCAGTTGGGCTAAATGAGATAGAGAAAATGAGAGAAAGGTGTGGTTGTCTGTCAGTGATTCATATCATATTCAGGTTTGCAGTTGCTGAAGCTGATTTCTAATCAATACTATTACCAATGTCTGCATTAAAGATGTATTAGGGATGTAGTAACAATGTCCAACATGATTAAATTAGTGAGTAACTAACCAGCTAACCCACCTTTTTGTGTATCAAGGCCAAAAGCCCTACAATCTCCCCATGCAAATTTAATTTTAAAATGTAGTAAATTAGATCATTAGAATTAGACCCTTGTTTCCCCTTCTGTTACAGTGAGTATTCATTGACTCGATCATTTGATTTCTATTATCAGTGAGATCATTTAATACAAGTGAATGAAGGTGAGGGTATATACTACTATCCCCACAGACAAAATTATACTTAGATGTTGACTGGAGCCTTAAAAGTGAGACTGGACACAGCCGTGTCCAGCTCTGTATAACCTTTGAGCGGAGATGACCACTGTCTTGGGGCCACTGAGCAGAGCCTTGACGCCTCTGGCTGGTGTCAGCCTGTCCCTGTCAGGCATGTGCTGGCTCCCTGCCTGCTCTCTCAGCTGCTCTCAGTCCCCAGTGTCCTCAGCCCTAAACAGATCCAGTTGCTGCTACTCAGCTCCAGCGGTGGGCCAATCTGGCTGATTAATGAACACATTCCCTAATAGAGGAACTCCTTCTCCCTGCCTGAGTCTGCATGTTAGTTTGAATGATATTTACTGACTCCTCTGGCTCCATCTCTGTTTTAGCATGTTCTCCTCTCAGCAGTTCTTGTCAAGATCCTTCACACACTTTCACTTCTCTCTATTCTCAACAGCCATTCACCAACTGTTTGTTATTTCTTTTGCTTCTCTCTATTCATTATGTTGCCTCTATTAAAAGCATTTACAATTCAAGCAGCAACTGTCGTGCAATCATCCAACCATATTTTACAGTAGCACCCAATCAAATCACTATTTCCTTTGTCAAGGCATTCACTGTCTTTGAAGCAACAAGTGGCAAAAAGCACATTTGACTATGCAAGGACAAGGACCATGGTTCTCACAGACAATAGGCCTGAGAGGCCTTGGTGAGAGTCAGAATGCAGAACAGCAGTGTAAAACATAAATCGGATTCTCTGAGCTGTATGTTTGGTCAGATAGCACCATGGTGACAACAAGGTCAAAGGGCACACATGTTTAGGCTTCTAGTTAACCTAAACCAGACCCATCAATTCTCATATCCTACAGGCCGATTATATGAACTCAGAAAACAATCTTTTATATTTTTTAAACCTTGATCACTTCTTGGATTAGAAATTTATCACAACGCTGTGACCACAGTACAAAAGCAAAATAGCTCTGAATGTCAGCATTCACTTACCAGTCCATCACAGTTGCTGATGGCCACAGTGGCGCCGGGCGTGTCCGTGATGTCCCCCACGTACAGGCACTGGTCATGCAGAGCCTCTATGTGCCGAATGCTGTCGCTGTCATCGTGCCACTCCATCTTGGCTCCGGGGGCCACCAGCCTGGCGTTGTGACGCAGGCGCAGGTGGAACTCCCGGCCGAAGACGGTGACATTGTAGTAAAGCTTTTCCCGGTGTGCGGTGGACTCCTGGTCTTCCTCCGAGTCTGGTCCTTCCCACTCATCATTGCCTGCTCGTACCTCCCTCCTCAAGCGCCTACGGGGCTGCCCTCCTGCCAGGTGCTCCGCTGACACGGCATGAGACAGGAAGCGGCCTTCTGCATCCACACTTACAGGCCTCACCAGTCCATACTCCCCCAGCACGTGCTGCAGGGAGTCTACAAACAGAATGGTGGGGGGGGGGGGGGGGGGACAAGGGCGGCAGGTGAAGGGGAAGAGTGAAATGGCACAGAGATGACAACAGAAACATGGTTAGATAGATAACTGCACAGAAAGGAGAGAATCACAATATATATGGGCCTAATGTAAACAGTGGAAGTGAAGGGGTTGAATAGCACATCAACAAAGCTACAGTGGATTTATCACTTGCCAAACATTCTCCAGAATTGTTTAATTCCTATACCATGTTTTCATGTGTTCCTCCATAAGTAAAATAATTAAACTCTGGAGTAACCTTTACAGACACTCATACTGATGCACACTCAGCCCCACCCAGAAACCCAGAGGCGACCCCGGTGCTCGCTGGTGCGGCGCAGTGCGCGTTTGGAAACGGCAGCCTCAGCAGTGCGCGCTGCGCTCCTGACACCTTCTGTGCCCTTCCTCCGTCAACAGGAAAGCCAGCACAGGATCAGGGCGCTAATTGCGTCTTCTCAGACTGTTTTCTCACTGTCAGCTCGAGAGAATATGCCTTCAGAACATCATGGCTCACAATGTTAAAACTCCCTGCAAAACTTAACATTTATAAACCCACACCACGCAGCTGCATGTTTGAGGCATGGGAAAGGTTCACGTGTCACTGTGACAACACGCGCATCATTTAGAGGCGACCTGAGATGTGCACCTCGCGCCCACACACTGCAAAGCCACTTAAAGGAGTCACAAGAACCCAGCGGTGTCCAGGTGCCCTTGGACCAAGCACATTATTTCAGTCCCGATTATTACAGCTGAAGTTTTGTAATAAACAAATGCTTCTTTTTGTCTTGCACTGTGTCGCTGAAGTGATTGGATAATAGTGTGATCAATATGCTGACATCCGACTCCAGCGTCCTGTGACAGATCGATATCTGCGACAGATAATGTCAGCCTACTTCCCCGCAAAATCTGACAGGAACAAGCGGCGCACCTCGTGTCTTTTACACCAAAAACACCCGGGAAAGTGTCCTCAACAACACCAGAGTCGGAGCACATAGAAGTTGAGCCGCACAAAAGCCTGGCAGTGTTTTTCCATGCAACAGAGAATAGAGACTCACAGATAGGGACTAAGATAAGGAGAGGAACGTAAACAGTGAGCACGTTTCTTACCAACGCTACTGGCGATGTAAAGGCCGCTGGTGTGCAGCATAAAGGCCGGTAAAAGAATTAGGACTGTAAATCCAGACGAGAGACCCATGGCAGCTCCGAACTGCGCAGGTGAGAGAGTGGGACTCCGGGCTCCAGTGTGGTGAAGTTCCCCGCCTGGCGCGACCAGCCACGCCACGACAGCAACAGCACAGCAGCCCGCAACTAGACTGCCAAGTGCACGGGGAGCGACGGAGCTCTCCTCCCCTCGCTCTCTCACTCCGTCTCACTCTGTGGCTACGAGTCTTCCTCTCCTCCTCCCGGTTCTCTCTCTCCTCCCTCAGACACTTTCACATTCACTCACTCAACTCTAGCCCCTCCGTCCGCGCCTCTCTCGCCCCCATCCTTTGACAAGTGTACTTCGCACCAACTGCCGCTGTTTGGGCGAAAAACATTACACGAGAGAGTGGTGGGCCCGCAGAAAGCCTCTCCTTTCGTGGAACAGCGGGATACCACAAGCTCGCCTCTCCTGCTCTCGCCATGTGCTTTTAGATACATTTTACTTCTGCAACTTTAAATGCATCCCGTCCAACACAAGTGTCCCGGTGTTGAACGACTCGTAGCGCCCCGTGTGGATCAGACGGAAAAGTGCGCGCAGCTCTCAAAGGCCCAAGAGTCCAATTTAAAGATGAAAAGAGAGTATTAAACAGCCCTAACCTGCACTGGCCTCACTTAGCACGTGATTTAGCCCTCTGACCACTAAACTCACAAGGTTCATACTGACACAAAGATATGGCAAATGCACTTAGAAATAACAGTCTAGGCCTATAGTTGCAAATGAACTCCTGCCGCTGAAGGCCAAACTAAAGTGCATTAAATACAACTGTAAAATATGATAAGATGTTTATGTTATATTATTAAATAAACCATTGTATTCATATTGACGAGGGAAACAGATTTTATCAACTTGTATTTTCTTTAGCTAGAATTCATTATAATTATAATGCTTATGATTAATAATAAATCTTAAATAGTCTTTACTTACAAAACAAAACATTTGCCTTTTGTCTTTTTAACAGATAATTTGACCACATAATTCTGACCTGGCCTCCCTCTGAATTTTGAACCAGTCATAACAAAGGTTTGACTTGGAAAAGTATTTTATTTATTGAGGTTGAGAAAAGATTAAGGTCAAACAGATTTAAGTCTGAGACAGAACATGATGCAAGTGCAGATCACCCCCTCACATCCATATGCTTCAAACACCACATTTAACAATACACTCTGTCTTCTATTGTCTTTTTTTTTTTTTTTTCTAATTCTGTTTTCATATGTAGCAAGATTTGATGATTTTGTTAGATGCAATATTATTTACAAGGAAATATTAAACAAGAAGTTAAATTCAACAATCTATAATTTAGAACATCAACCAGATTCAAATCATCACCATGACGTTCTGCGTTTTCTGATCACTTTCAGCGAGAGGTATGCCAGTATAATGATTGATCATCTATAGAATTAAATTCAGAGTGCTACACATATCAGTCTGGTGTGAGCCAGGTTAGGCCCATGACATCCTGGTCAAAACCTTAGGACTGATTCTCTGGCCCTGCCTCGCCATGATGGTATTTCACAAGCTGCAACTTTTATGTTTTGTTTTTGCTAAATGGCTAAGAGACAAATTAAATATAAATTTGTCTCCTTTAACTTAAAACTTGACTTTTTTTTTTTTTTTTTTTTTTACTGGGTAGAGTTTATAATTATGTTTCAACCTTAAACATCCACAAGAGTAATAAAACTAGATCTGTGCAGCAGGTATCCATACAGTATAACTCAGCAAATTTGATTTAATTATATATCATGAGGAGTTACTGTCATTGTGGATTGTATTAGATACTCTGTAGAGTCTAAACCTGATGGTTTGGTTACTTGTCATAAGCGTCACAACAGGAGAGCAAGCCAAAAAAATCTAACTTTATTTAAATCCATGGGAGAGAAAAGTACAGACATTTTCCCCTGTCCACAGATGCATAAAGCATTTACCTTCTGCAAAATACGAATTATTTTCATTAATATAGCCTGAAGTACGTTTGTCAGCATCACCATGTTTGTTTTAGTTCTTTTGGGCACTTGGTCTTTGGTTTCTGCACAAAGCTCAGCGTTGCTCTGTGATTGGTCCTCCCGCCTAATTAATTTTGCAACTCGGGCTGTCATAATTATTATATTGATCTATCCTTCAATACATGAAAGATGGACAATATATTTTGGGGCACAATATTTATCATGGATAGTTTTTCTTTACAATAGTGAGAAGATATATATATTTTTTAGCAATTTTTATGATGTAGAGTCTAGAATACTACTACTAATACTATGGCTAATTATCAGTTCATTCTGTTAATTTATTTTAATTTATTTTTTTGTTGCAGTTCAGGCCTTTTGATTATACTGGGATTATCTTGCTTTGTGTCTCTTGAGTTTGTGAACTCACAAATATCACATGAATCCATCTTGCTGTGCAAGGTTATCAGAGGCCTGTTTATTAAGTAATTTTAGATCAGTATTGCTGTGTGTACTGTGAAGAAACTGTAAATAATGCAAATATGATACTAGATTATCAATTAATAGCAAAAAGGCATACATTTTATTTTTTAAGGGAATGCATTTGGTTTTAAAGCACACCAACAAACCGCCTGCTGGTGTGGCTTGCAGACTGGAGCACAGTTGAGACACAGCACCAAGAAAAGGTGTCAAATAAAGGGCAAAGATATAAAAAACAAGGCTAAAGCTGATAAAATGTACAAAGGTGGACAGAACTGGGCCAAACATGCACATATGCGGTACGGTAATGTACCTGCAGGCAGCACTGTACTCACACCCTCCTCTGAACCAAAGTAACACAAAGTACATGTGAGTGTATTCAACAGACAGAGGTCACCCACATAACACCACCCCATTCACCTCCACTGTCTCCTAAATGTCAGCGCAGTCCCCAGCACACACCTTAGTGCGACCAGACATGAGCGGCAGTCCCTCCTCCGCCCACTGATCCCGGAGCTTGTTTCCATGGAGATACCAAGCCCTGCACCTTCACAAGAAGAAGAAGTGCAGAGTTGGAAAAAGGAGAGAGGGGGGAGACAGAAAATAATATCCCCAGACAAACAGGCTTGTATTGGCTCAGGTTAATATCAAATGTGTGTCCAAGTGGTCAGATGTCTGGGAAAACTGAGAGTGCAAAGAAAAATAAGCCTACTAGACTAATAAATATGTTGTAATGCACTGAATCTGAATGCACAGTAGTTACCTTTAGTGTTTCAATGGTTTAACTATATGCTACATATTACTGCCTTTTCTCTGATGCATTTTTGCTGACATCTTTGAATGAGTTGCAGTAATAGCCATTAATGATTTATTTATGATTGAGGTATTAACTGTTATTAGTATAGATCGGGAAAGAAAGCTTAAAGAGCAGTAAATTTACAGTTCAGGGATACTTACTTGATTACACTATTTTCTGATGTATATTATAATGTTGTTTCCTTGTCACAAACATACCTGATGTTGTGTTTTGTTTCATTCACACATGTTTAACACACAACTCCTGCATATTTATCCTGAGTTCTTTTCTTAATTTGAAAACACTTTTCCACCTTGTGATGTCACAGGAAGTGCTCTGCTGTGTTTTTAAACTCTACACACTGTCATCAGAATCATTTAGATGATTTTAGCCCTAGACTTCCCAATTTCTACTAAACCAAAGGTAAAAGATAGCTGTTGAAAACTAACTTAAAAACAAATCTTTTCAAGACATCGAAAAAAAAAAAAAAAAAGGAACAGAGTGTTTTGAGCTTCAGAGATGTAGACAGAATAATAATAAAGGATACTCAAACATGTGTGAATGAAACAAAACACAACTCCAGGTATGTTTTAATGAGGTAGCAACATTATAACATACCTTCAAGCTCACAAGAGTCAATTTTGTGTAATATGGGACCCTTAAAGGCAAACAGAAGTTGGCCTTAAGGTAATAAAATTTAGCCCATTTTAAAATACATAAACAGTAGAAAAAGAAGAGGTGGCCTTTGTAGCTGAACATCTTACACTGTTGTGCAATGTGCATTTAGGGCTGCAGTGGGAGCATATGTTATACTGTCTCTAGCCAGGCCACCTCCTCCTTCTGTCCCACCAAGGTCAGGCTGTGCCCCCCCCCCCCTGCATGTGTCTGCATGTATAAGGAGCCTGGGCAGTCTCAGGAGGGCAGGACAGGTGTCGTCATGACAGCACATCAGGACAAGCCATGAACCCAAACACAAAGTCAGACTATGTTAAGTAAGTATGCTGAAATTTAACTATGTAGACTTTATATGAAAGTTCAACCTTTTTTCTTGTCACCATGGTAAATCATATCACCTTCATGAATAAGGCTATATAATGCTTATCTATACTAGTAGTACTGCAGAGTAGGGGTGGATTAGAGGCAGATTATACACTGATATAAAGTACAGTTATATCGATAGCATTTTATTAGGATTCAGTGCTTTTCTGTTTAATGCAGACACATGTCATTCCCATTGGTCAGTCTCCATGGTGCTTTGAGGGAGTGACAGGCAGACGTAACCAATCACAGTGAAATATAAACAGAGAAGAAACAAATAACATTACTAAATGTGGCAGTTTAAAGGGCCCATATTGCATTATTTTCTGATCTATGTTATACTGTTGTTTCCTCATCAAAAACATACCCAGAGTTGTGTTTTGTTTCATTCCCTCATGCTTAATACACAAACCCTGCATATTTAGGCTGAGTTCTTCACTCAAACAGAAAACAAATTTTGTTTGAATGTGCGTGAATGAAACAGGAAGTGCTTCACTGTGTTTTAAGCTTCATATACTTCACTGGAATCATTTGGATGATTTCAATCCTGGAATTGGGAATTTCTATTGAACTAAAGGTGAAAGGTAGCAGTTAACATGGAAACTACCACTTCCTGACATCACAAGGTGGAAATGTAGACAGACTAATAATAAAGGATTACTCAAACATGTGTGAATAAAACAAAACACAACTCCAGGTATGTTTGTGATGAGGTAATAACATAATAACATGGTTTAAATCTCACAAGAGTCAGTTGAATTGTGTTTTTATAATTTTTTGCCATATTGTACAATAGAGTGTAAT